GCATTCATTGATTCATAAGAGCTTGTCACAATTTGTTTTTTTCTTTCTTTTCTGTCGATGATAAAATAAATTTACTCAAAAATATAACTTATCATTCCAAGTACGCTTCTCATGAATTTTATCAAGAAAGGTTTACACAGGAAATGAAATATTGTTAATTTTAATTGCATATTAAAGTACATATTTCAGAATTTTTAGGGCACAAAAATACTCTCAACTTATAATTGTCTTAGATACATAGAAAAAACAAAATTTTATTTTCTGAACATTTCTAAAGTTTAATTAATTACATTAGGGTTGTTTTCTGTGTGTGGTGGGGTAAGTGCATGTGTGTGAGCACATTTGTGTGTCTCTTTTCATTGTTTTGTTAAATAGTAGGTAGAGTTATGGTATGTATTGTTGCAAAAAATTTATTTCAAAGTTCTACATTTTAAAGTTCCAATAAAATTTTTGATGGAAATACGTCTGAAAAAGAAAAAAGTTCCTTATTTTAAAGAACGTTTCTCTATTCTTCCTTATTTCAACAACATGCATGTGATTTGTACATAAAATTTTCCAATCTGAAATGGATGTTTCCTGGACTGAGGACCCTCAGATTTGAAACAGATCTTTCAAGTTTGGACGATATTTTACAGAAAGCCTTAAGACATTTTCAAAATTCTCTCTAAATGACTCGAATTTTTCTCATAAAATTGTTTGCTTAATTAGAGGATACTACCTTTAAAAATATAGTAAAAGTTCAGTTTTTATGAAAACTTCTGCAATTGCAAAACTGAGACTTTATTTTTTGAGACTTTCCTACACCTTGATTATTGAAGTTTGAGATCTTCGTTTTTAATGCAATCTATTCTCCAAAATTGATTCTATAATGTTTTTGGTGGCATTAACTGCCGTGGTGTACATATTTTTATCAGGGGAGGTGGCGGTGTTCTTCTTTTGCTGGATGTTCAGGTCTGGCACTGACCTACACCGTGATTTGCAGGGCCTCCCCCATGTCTCTCCTAACAGTATGGTGCTGACCACCCGAGACAAGCTTAAACTCCCTACTGGTCTCTTGATATATATGGTAGTGTATTGTGTGTAAGAGATGAGGATAGGACAAGGAAGAGGAGGAAAAGATCAAGGGCATTCCAGCCTGTGGCTCTAGTAGGGATTCTAGGGAACTACTAGAATTCTCCTCCAGATAGTCTGTAACTCTATCTAGCTAGCATTGTAGAGGCACTGCAGTAACATCAGTTGATGCCCTGGACCACTTTTCTTTTCTTTTTCTTTCCTTTCCTTTCCTTTCCTTTCCTTTCCTTTCCTTTTCTTTTCTTTTCTTTTCTTTTCTTTCCTTTTCTTTTCTTTTCTTTTCTTTTCTTTTCTTTTCTTTCCTTTCCTTTCCTTTTATTTTTTCTTTTCCTTTTATTTTATTTTATTTTTTCTTTTCCTTTTATTTTATTTTATTTTATTCTTTTCCTTTTATTTTATTTTATTCTTTTCCTTTTATTTTATTTTATTTTATTTTATTCTTTTCCTTTTATTTTATTTTTTCTTTTCCTTTTGTCTTCAAAATAACAAGAGTATCATTTTTATTCTCTCTTTCGCCTCCCCCCTCCACAAACACACACTTCTTGTGGTAAAGTACTTCTAGAAATGACTGAAGTATCAGTAGAGTTCAAGTTGTTATTATACCTGAGCAGTACAAAGTATGTGATGTACAGTACCATTGGTTTCGATTTCCTATTATGAGTGATCTTTTTTGCCCTGTCAAATAAAGTTACATACAATTTCTTATGTCAGTAATTTATTAAATTAGTTAAATCATATTTCTGCTTGTCACAATGAAAAGTAATAACATTTTTAATAATACCTATGTTATTAACTGAAGATTGCCAGCAGATTTGGAATCCTGGAAAATTTTTAAATTGTCTGTTAGTTTTGAAATTGGAAATTTTATCTGGGACCCGAAATTTCTACATTTTTACTTTTACTTTTTTCTTACACCTAGTAGGAAGAATGTTAATAATGCATTCAAATTTTGAAAATTGTTATTAGAAGTAACCCTCCACTACTGTTCTGTAGTTATTAAGTCTTATATTGTCAGCTTACCTTCTACGTGTAAAACATATATTCAATAATAATAATAATAATAATAATAATAATAATAATAATAATAATAATAATAATTATAATAATTATTATAATAATAATAATAATAATGATGATGATGATGATGATAAATTTAGGAATAATTTGTATAGGCTTGTAATATATACAAAAGGAGTAATTTAATTGTTTTGGAGTAGAAAGTAGTCTTATTTGCTATGACTATTTTTGTTCTACTCTATTCTGACAGTCCTGTCAGTCCCACGGACTTTGTCTTTGAGAGTGATATTTTCACTCTCTTTTATATTCCTTTGTGAGTTTATTTACTTTATGGTTTTCTTTCATTTATTTTCTTCCCTAACATCTTTATTATGACATTAAAACATTTATAACACATTCTGTAATTGATTAATTATTTTTAGATTAAGAATTCTGTAAAAGAATGTATTGTATCCAGAATAATTTTAATTTAACCCTTATGAACTAAAAAAAAAGTGCAACAACCTCTGAAATAATTATTTTGGCTTTGAAGATCTTTAAAAAAACTTAAATGTGAGATTTAAGATTTATTGATCACTAAAGACAGGATTTACATGCACTATCAAATGCTAAAATATGCTTGCAAACATGCATTATCAAATAGCACGATGCAGAACAAAAATTATCAAAACATGCTCAATCAAATTTGAGTTTAGTATATTTCCTGTTTTATTGTCTATTGTAACAATTTATAATTTTTCTCAATTTTACTGTCAAATTTCTTGTTTTTTCAGGAAAATGTTTTTAGATTCAGAAAATGCTTTCTACAACACTAGTTGTAATTGGAGCATACTTCATAGATAAAATTAGTGCCAATGTGAGGTCAAATTCGACATTTTCGGATTTTTCACCACAAATAATATTTTTTTACATTTTGGAGAAATTTCAAATCAGAATTTGAATTGAATATTTATATAAATTCTCCTTAGCAGCAACACTCACAACTCCATACACTAATTCCAATGATTCCACGAGATGTAAATCTGCTGCTTCTAATTTCTTCTGCTGTTGAATTTTTTTGGGAAACTACAAAATTTGATTTTATATATTATGTTAATTTTTTGCAGTCATTGTCTTTTAGACTTACTTTATTTTTTTTTATTTTCTTGTACACAAGCGGACTGAGAGTCTTCTGTTGATTTTCTCTCCCATTTTCAGTTAAAAAATGATATTGAATTACAGCTCATGTGCTGACAGTGCGTGTACTCGCTTGGCAAATCATAGCACGTGTACCAGACGGTTAAAATTTCTAGTATAACAATAAGCAAAGGCAACTCCATACTGTCAGAATCTTGAAATAATATGCTATTTATAAGAAATATGCGTAAATTCTGATTTTCAAAAATTATGCGAAAATGGCCTTTAAAAAGTGTTTAATGTGCTACTTAGATGTCAAAATGTGTAGTATTACGGTAAATAAAAAAGGTCCAAACATGCATTATGCAAGAATTTCTTTTCAAAACTACCAAAACATGCAAACGTGGGGGAATGTATGCATTTTGAAAATGAGTATGCCATGAAAAATAAATTTATAAAGTTGAAAAGCTCTATGAAGTGTAAATAAAAACATGCATTTGCATGGAAATCCTGTCTCTTCTGCTCACTCTAGATGAAGAAGAAAATGTGTATTTGAACTGTTAATATGTAAACATAACTTCTATTTGATGAAAATGTTTTGTTTTACAAGCATTTTTAAATGTCTAGGTGCCAACAAGAAAGAGGTTTCTACACCACTTTTAGAATTCATCAAGCAGCGCCGTGCAGAGAGACTACGAGTAAGGGAAGAAAAGCGAGAAGAAAGGAAAAGAAAAGAACTAGAACGAAAAAGAATCAAGGAGGAAGAGAGAAAGAGGCGTAAAGATAATGATTCTGTTTTAAAAGTAAGAAAATTGTTTCATTTATTTATTTTGATAATTCTAAACTAGTGGAAACAATACAATAACAATAGCATATAAAGCCAAGAATCTTTTTCTCTAAAATATCACAAATTATGGAAATGCAAGGTGCATCCAGAAAGTAAGTTTGAACTGAACCTACATGCAACTCTGCTTCACCATGATACATGTAATGCTGAACAGACAGGAATTTCTCAAGGTCTAAGAAAAGTTGGAAATTGCTGTGTATCACACTGAAGCAGAGTTGCAGGTGAATGCTTGGCTGTCTGGGAAATGCCTAGGATTGTTGCAGAATGGCAACCGAAATGTTGGCACCTGTGCATAGGACGCAGCGTCTTCCGGATAGCCAAGTATTTTCTGACTCCGGCTGTGGTAGCCTATACTCCCATCCACAGAAGGGCTGTCAAGCACTGGTGCAGTAGGATGCCCCAATTAGCCTTTATTATTATAAACAATGCCTCCCATTAGTTTTCCTATTTCTTTTGGTCCCTATAGAGAATATACAAAGTTTCACCCCTCTAAGACAACAGGAAAATCTCCCTGTACAGCCCTAAAAGTTGAAAATAGATATTTTTAAAATGTCAAAAATTGTAGACTCTTTTCAGAATTTGTATATTCTTACCAGCGTGTTAAAACTGCTTTATGTATGATCTTATGGATGTGTTTATGTAGACTTTAATCACAAAACTATATTAATTGTACACTTAGCCACTTATGGCTTGAGGAAAAACAAGTATAAAATGAAAATGTACTCTAATTTTGAGCATATTGGCAATTCTACACTGGTATGACTGCTACTGTAGGTTCACAATAATGGCAAAAAAATTGCCAAAATGTTGGAGAAGGGTATAAAGAAGCATGCATTGATATGTTGCATTTTACAATTTCATTTGATAACAGAGTGTAACATTGAGTTAAAAAGGTGGAATATTCACTGCAGTAATTTTCCAAATAACTTTTAAATATTCCAAAAACTGTCAAATAATATCATGTCATCACATTTACTACTTTAAATAATATTCAAAATTGACTTCTTAAATCATTTTATTTATAATATTGAAGTAGATTTTGCTTTTGAACATTATTTTTGTTTATCAAGTAACTGACATCTTCCATTAGTTTTACCCCTCATTCCGTTATGTCATTTACTGCTTTTAAGTTCTATGACAAGGACACCCCAGGTCACAACCATGTTTGTGTATGTGGGTGTGTGGGTGACTATGCATATGGGAGTGTTGGAACATAAATTCAACTTATTATTAGTTTTTAGTGTGATTTAATTATCAATTCTCCATTAAAGTTATGTCTTAGTTTGATTTCAATAATTCACATATTGTATGACATTAGTGAAAAGAAATTCACTCAATTAGCTATTTCATAAGTCATTGTCTTTCCCTTTATTTAGGATAGTCTTTCAGTCCTGTATCAGGTGTTTCTTTGTTTCTTTTCCGATAGTGGCTTTTATGGTTATTGTTGTTTTTAGTATTTTTTTTAATAACAGGTCCTTCGCAATCCTGAACATGAAGATAAAGAAGAAACTGCGAAAAATGGAAAGGAGAGGGATCGAAGCCAGCAGATGATAAAGAAAAGAGAAGATGAACGAAAGCATAGAGAGAAAGATAGGAAGGATAAGTAAGTTTATTTTTAACCTTTGCAGACAACTCTTTAATTCAGTGTATCAGTCTTGTAACATTTTGTTATATAAATAAAGGATGAGATTATAATAGCTAATTAGTATAATAGTCTTGGGACTTTCAGTGAAAATAATTTTATGATGTATCATAGCAGGGTACTAATACTAATACTAATACCAATACTAATTAAAAAAACAAACATTAATTGAGAAATGTCAAAAAATATTTATTAGATCCCAGAAGTTAAGCAAAATGCCTTTTTATTATTGCTATGGTTTTAAAACCTTTTACAATAGGAATCACATCACTGTTCTTGAAGTTGTTTTAAAAAAATTTCATTTTGCCATTTTTGGCTATTTTAGCTACTGATGCCTATTTTTGGGTTTTGCCTTATTTTGTCATTGTTCTTCATTTTTCTTCATTATTTTTATTTTCTCTCCTGATACTTCAATAGATCTTACTGGATATTTATCTGGAACCATGGACAACACAGGGGCACTGTTGTCTTTAGTTTTTGTCTGATATAGATGCGTGATATCTGATAAGAATGTTGAACTTCGGTTCCACATCCTGGATATGTTAAAAATGGTTGAGAGAAAGCCAGATGATACCGGTCAAGATTATTGGATTCCTTTCATTGATGCCAACAGACTTAATTCACTCATGAGGAATATCATTCCGTATTTGAGTGTGGCCTCTGTACCCTTTCGAGAACTAGATGATATAAGATACAGCCCTTCTCAATCATGGCAGATACACACAAGTTTAAATAACAAAAACTATAATGGTGTTTTCACATATGCCATTCCAGGGTCAAAAAGAGAATTGTTTAGTCAACAATAGAATTACTAACGAAAGCATCGCATATGAAACAAATTCATAGTCATCATACTGAAATTTAGTGTGCCACTAAGAATAATTTTCAGTAGAGAAACTGAAAAATAACACTTGTCTTTTGCACACGTAAGCTTCCGTGGCTCAAATCCATGAATTCTTGGCTATCCAGGAGATGCCACGTCGTTGGCTGAGAGGCCTCAGACAAGAATTCACTGGCTTTTTGATGCTGACAAAGGTAAAAAATTTAGCTGTCTGGGACGTGGGACCAATCAGCAGGTACACTGATCAAAACTGTGAGAAATAGTTTTTTTGGCAGTAGAAATCAGTGAGAGATGAGACTTGAGAGAGTACTGATATAGATGCTGAAAGAGACACTGTCAATATTTCAACGAAACTTTTAAGTGTGGTTGGGGAGGAGAATGGAAGACATTGTCCAAGTGTAATGGCTACATTAACAAAAGGGAAGTAAACTAGCCAAACTTTGTATAGGAAGATCAAATCTTGTGACAAAGAAAATTGAATGAATTGTTAGTTTGGTTTTGAAGAGTGTATGAATGGTTTTGTATTAAATAGATTTATTTTTATTGTCGGGTTCTTGTGAAGTAATTTTTAAATGTAATTTGCAGTGCTTTCCAGTCTACTGGCAACAGTATTTGAGACAATTAAAAGATTTTGGGGCATTCACTAGTTTCATACATAAATGAAATGGCTGTTTTGTTATTAGTATGCCAATTTTTTATTTTATTTTATTGTCATATCTGTTGATTTGTTAATACTTGAGATCCTGTAAAGGTATAATCATTAACTCTCAGGTCAAGAAATATTTATATATGCTAGAAATTAAAATAATATACTAAAAGTAATAGAGAACAATAGGAATTCAATAGATTAGTTAATGTATTTGTATAAAAAAAATTTTTGAAAAACTTGTTCTGACCAAGTTACTGAAGCCTTTTGAACTTCTGGTCAATTGAAGTTCTCTTTTTGAATCAGATTTCTATCACAGTACATGGGATGAAGGAAAATTAGGGTTTGAGTGAGTTGTAGGTCGAGTTTGTCCAGAAAGAGGTTGGGAACAACTACTCAAAAACTGTAAGACGCACTTTAGAATGTATGTACAACAGTGCTAATATTAGCAGTCAATAATTGTTGTTCATGGTAAATTTCTTTTGCATGGTTTAATTTCAATGTTATATAATTTATTTCATTTGTTCAAAAACTGTTAAACTATGACTGTTATTTTGATTTGGTCCATCATACATTTATTATGATTTCTATTGTTTACAGGCGTGATCTAAAAAGTAGAGATGGTCCACCCAAGACTTACAGAGATGATCGGCAAAAACAAGTTGATGGCCGAATGCCCCGCAAAATTATAGAAGAACAAAGACGAAAATTGGGAGGAGAAAGAACGTTGGTGCAGAACAAATCAGAGTTACGGAACAATCCAGAATATGATAAAACAGGACAAACCAAAGAATCTGATCCACGGAAATCTCCAGGATTTTCAAGAGACCAAGATCAGAAAAAAGGTCCAAATGACAAATATCAGAGCCATTCAAAAGATGGTGACAGATTTACAAGAGAAATTGATGGGAGAAAAAACTATAAAGAAAATGATGCAAAGAAACCGGAAAAACCTCAAGCTTTTGTAAAAGATAATGAATTTAAAAGAAATAACTATGAAACAAGGAGAGTTAGTAATAGCTTTAGTGAAGGTGATGCAAAAAGAAAACCTAATGATAATCATAGTAAAAATAATGTCAAAAGCAATGACCAACAGGAATTCAAATCAGAATGTAGCAAATCACAAGGTTCTGAAGAAACTGATAGAAAGAAATGGGAGTTGTTAGGTGCTAAACCAAAACGGTTAGTTTCTGAAGATGATGTTTCGAACTTGGCCAGTGAAAATAATTTTAATAAAAGCAAGGATAGTTCCTCAACAGATTTGAAAGAAAATATGCCTGATCCTTCTATAATAAAGTTATATGGAATTCACAAACCAATAAGAATTCCAATTGAAGCTGTGAAATGTGATACTGTTCCGGGTGTGTTATTAAAGCGAAGAAGTTCACTTGACTCAGATTCACAACATATGAGATCATTTGAACGTATGTGCATGAAACCAAGGAGACAAGTTTCTTTAGATTCTGAAATGTTTTTTAAAAATGTGTGTGTGGATAGTTCTACAAAGACTGTTATGCTGACTAGGAGTCAAGAATTTGAGAAAAGAATTGAGACGATGCCTATGACAAGGAGGAGCTCACTTGATTCTGGTGATTTTAAGAAAAAAGCTATGACTTGTGAAAGATTTGGATCTCCCACCGGAAATATTATGAAATTTAAATCAGATTTATTTTTTCGTGATAATGAAAGAAAACCATTTATAGTTTCAAAGCCGCCAACAGACACAAAATCTGACTCCTCTAAAGCTTCTGAAAAGCAAGAAGAAAGTAAGAAAATGAGTGAACATGAAGATCAGAAATTTGAAAGAAACAAATGTGATCCCAGTAAAAATAATGAAAATAAAACTGAGAGTTCTGCCGGGGAAGGAAACAAACGTGATCCTCGTGCAGAGAGGAGAATAAGAAACAAGGTTAGTATGAGGAAGGATGTTCCATTTCTTCTTTATTTCAACAATCCTTACTTAAATATTTTCATGTGTTGTTAAAGAGTTATGTTTTTTTTAAAAATAATTGTATGATATGTATAGATTGATAAATTTATTTCATAAAATGTGCGAGAGTTATGAGTAGACATCGGATGTTTAGGGAAATGCCTTTTATATTTTAATGAACGTATAAAAGCTTTCAGTGTGAGTACATTAATTATGAAAAATGAACAATTCTGACTCAGTTTTATTTTGTCCTATTTGCATCTTTTGACATAAGTGCTTTTTAGATGAATGTCTTTCATTGTGAAATGTATTTACATCTTCCAGATTTGGTTAACAATACGCGTTTCAATCATTTTCAGTTTTACTACTCAATAGCTGTCTGCTGGCAAAAAAGTCTTCATTTTATTGTCTAGACTGAAGATGTCATTTGGGTTTGCATGTCACATTCTCTATCTTTGGAGCTCAAAAGCTCACTTTGTGGCCCTTGTTCACTAAAATTTAAAAATATTAAAATATATATATTTTAAAGCGATGGATCTTGGGTGAACATCGGGCTTAGATTCATGACCTAGCCCATTCATCATGTCTCAGGAGGCAAGTCGATACTAACTTTTGATGTTAATATCGTATTGTGCCAGATGTTCTTCCAGGAGGTAAGGAAGGCTATCAATCCAAAGAATTAAACGATAGGTTACTCTTGTACCTGAACTGACCACCAGATTTAACACTATCAACAACGTGTTAATATTTCTTTTACTTCCTCGTGTTCTCAGTATAGAGAAGGTATTGTAATGCTGCAAAAATCTGTATTGAATACAAAAATACATGTTTTGGTGGTCCTTGTTTTAAAAACAAGTTTTGTTTATAAAAACTAAAATTGTTTCCCCATAGATGTGATGACACAGGGGCAATATTTTTGCCTTTTATCCAAATATGATTTTCCTGATCAATCTGGCTGCACTTGAGGTACTGCAAATTAGAAACAGAACTTTCAGTTTTGTGATACTATTCTTGAATGCCCTTATGTCATTTTCAAAATTTTTTCAAAGAGGCTCAAAATGTTTTGCTCTTGTACAGCAAAGAATGCTTGTGTGGTGACGTACTTCTTTACTCTCTTACTTCCGCTACCGCAGTAGAGAGAAAGTTATGTAAGGGTGCCCAAAAAACAGCGAATTTTTGGCAGAAAAATCTCTTATTACAGGGCCTTTGTAATGAAAAAGTGGACAAATCCAGTTGCTAAATTTAGAAAAAAATATCATCTAACACGTGGTGTAGTGTCCTGAAGTTGTGGGTCCTTGATACCGAAAAATTGATTGACAGTAAAAATGTCTGTCTGTCTGTCTGAGTACAATACTAACGGCTAAACCATTCGGCTGATTTTCTCCAAATTTGATATTCCTCTTTCGATCTGGCTGATGTAAAGGCGCCTTGAATTTGAAACTGATATTTTAATTTTAGAGGACTTGACATGAAGCCTCTGAGAAGTTTTCAAAATAATTGTGCCATTGATTTTGATTAAATTTTGTTGTTAGGTTGTCTGAAGTTGTCAAAAAATTGTGCAAGTCTCCTGTTGCTTAAAAACCCTGATTTTTTGAAAATTAAAAAAATCAACATTTTTTCAGTGTCTTCGTACAACTACAATTATGATAATACAATTTTTTTTTCTAAATGAAATGGGTTTATCAAAAACAGATTTTCAAATGAGGTCAAGTTGAATTTTTTGAAAATATGAATGTTTCGTGTGTTATATGTGGAAACTAATAGATGAGTGGTCATTGTTGGTTGTTGTAACCCGTTGTTGTAACGCCACCCTGATGATGATGGCTGCCTTTCGTTCGCAATAATATAAACTAATACTTTTATATATATGTGGAATATTACAATGCCATTGTGTTTAATAATTACTATTATATATTTTTCAATCTATTTGCATTCTTTGATAATGCTACATTATTGTATTATTTATTAACTTTTAATTATTTTACCTTCTCTCATACTGCTTATGAAGAATATTGTAAGGTTTAAAATTCATCCAATATGTTCGTAAATGTACTGCATACCATATACAATGAATCCAATGCCAGAAATATGTTTTCATATAAAGTTTTGAATAAAATATCTATTTCTTGTAACTATTCAATTTTAGCCCCAAGTGTTCTATGATTTCAAATGAGTTTTACAAAAACTTATAACTGAGAAAGAAATTGTGGTATAAATAGTATTACATAACCGTTACTAAAGGCTAGAAACTACTTGGTGATTAAGCACCACTAGTTTTAATATAAGATTTCATGAAATTTTAAGTGAAATAATGTTTCTCCAACCAAAAAAAAAAAAAAAAAAAAACATTAAAATAAACTCCAACATTTTTACATGTTTTTTGATTCAATAGAACAAAGTGCACTTAATAATGACATAAATCCAATTTTTGATAAATTTATTACAAATTTTACATTTTGAAAATTTGATGTCCTCAACAATTTCAAATTAATACTAGTGTTAGAGGCTTTAATGATTTAATGTCCCTCGTGTGTAGATACAACTGCTTCAATCATCTCTAATGAAGTTTTTCAAAATCTCAAATGTTTTCGAGTATATCTCTTAGTAGTTAATGAGAGAGTTTGGTGGCTATGTATGTAGGCTCCCAGCTTTTGTTGTGACTTCCTAGTCCAAAGGCTGGGGTCGAATTTCCAAAGAAAATAAGTTAACTTGGTGTGTTAAATAAGTTAACTCATCCTTAAATGTAGTACAACATTCAAATAAAAATAAAAGCAACAATGATTGTCTGAAGACAATCAGTCAGTATTAAAAATTAGATGTATTCTTGTTAGTCAATTTCTCTTTAAACTTTTTTTTTTTTTTTTTTTTTTTTTTTTTTTTTTTTTTTTTTTTTTTTTTTTTTTTTTTGCGCTGTATTTGAAAAATAATGTTTCTTGAAGCAGTTATTCACATCATGGGGTATGCATATTTCAATATAAGAATTAGCATAATAATATTCAAATTTTCTTTTAATCACTGCAAAACAACGTGCTATGTGAAGCCCAGGTTTTGAGAGAAAACTCAAAAGAAGAAAATTCTTATTTTCTAAAGACTCAAATAAATGGAGTCTCTTTTAAATATGGTCAGTGCCCAATTTTCATTAAAACCTCTGAACTTTCGAAAATTGCATATTTGAATCGTTATGTGCTTCTTTTGCCGAAGTCCTTTTTACAAAATGTTTGAAGAATTAGTGGGATAAGAATTGCAATATGATAATGTAAAGTAAGTAGTGCCAATAATTGTAGATGTCCAAAATAGACACTGCCTATTTTGAAGAAAATGTTAGAGAAAAAAATCTGGCTTATGTATTCTATTGATCAGTTATCAACAGATCTTCATTTCTGAGTCTGTTTTTGGAGTGGAAACACACTAGACATATTCTGATCTGTCTCTTCATGCTTATTTTTTCTGCAAGAAAATTCTGCATGGGCATTGTTGGAGAAAATCAATTGATGCGTATTCTCATGGGCATGACATAGCAACTGCTGAGGTAGACGTGTCTCTCTTGCCAGGGAGCATTTCAGAAAGCTTTGAATTGTCGCTGCACTTGTGTGTATTGTATTATTTATTTCGAGTGCAACAAACAGGCAGATAATTAGATAATGTTTGCAATCATTAAGAAGCTCAAATTGCCCTTCCAGTATCATAGTATAGTACTACTAACTTAGTGAGTAAACAAACCTTATATGTTTGAATTTAAATAATCATAGTGTATTAAATGATTCCAGCAGGCAAGGTTGCTCTGTTCGTTGGTAACAACGTAGTAGGACATGGTAATAAATAGACCATGCTCTCAGTATAATTAAATGTTCAAATCAATTGAATTACAGAATTCCTAATTCTAAAGAATTATAGAATTCCTAAAGAAAATTATTCCTAATGTAATTTGAATTATGTATAAAGTGTAAATAATTCTAACCTGGACTTCGATCTCATCCTCTGAAAGCTTTAATCGTGGAGGTAATATTATGCAGTTGTTGGGTGAGTTTAAAGAGGTAGTCAATTTATTTACTCATTTATTTATTTGTAGCCAATCAGACAAAATTTCATAATTAGAGTAACTATCAGTTTCAAATTCATTGTTTCAGAGAGGTTAGTATAGTGTTGATATGTGCCAACATTTATCATTCCAGCTTCTAGAGCTGCATAAAAGAAAGAAAATAAAAGTTTTGCTGTGCTGATTCTATCTTTTATTATAAAATTCAAATATGTAGTGATCAATTGAGAGTGGTTTATTAGTTTGAATTTTACTGAAGAATTTGTGTGAAGAAGTGTTGTTGAAGAATTTTTGTGAATATGTCAGTTGATGGATTTTTTAATGTTGAAGTTCTTTACTATGGAATATCAATTGGCATTAATGACCACTTCAAAAAATTCCTGACTTTGTTACTGATGGTTTTGTCATGCTAAGCCACTGTTTCTACTTTGTTTACATAAATGAAGCATTGACGTCTCTCCTTGTATTTATGATTTCATGCCAATAACAATAAGTGCAAGTGTAACTTTATTCTACTTTTGTGCCACTGCTAATAAAATAGAAAAGTATGTACTGTTGTAGCACCAATAGTTTATGATGAAAAGTGCTTAGTGTAGGGGTGTCCAACTTGCAAGACCTCAAGGGTCACAACTAAACCCTTTGTCATGGTTGCAGCTCATATTTTCATTTCTTAGGTGATCTACACTTCACTTCTCCATATTGTTGTTCTCAAAGCTTTGTGTGGCTGCACTGAAACGGGAGAGGGGAATGGAATCGTGCATAATATCAGGCCATACCATGCACAACGCAGTGAAAAACATTGGGATGACTTTGTTTTACTAAATTTACTAGAAAAAATATCTTAAAACTAAATTTAACTTATGTTTATATTAAAGGGGAGTTGACCCTTGTAGGGTGCATGCGCTAGGCTATCTTGCCCAACACTGATGAAAGGGTCTTTCAC